GTAGGGTGTGGGGAGCAGGGGCTCCCAGTTGGGGTTCATTATGGGAGGAGGAAAAGCAGGGGCTGTGGGGGAGAAGCTGGAGCAGAGGGGGAGGGTGGAAGAGGGAATCAGTCAGGTGTGGCTGCGTCCGTCCGTGAGGGCCTTGTACCGTGAGAAAGAGTTTGGACTTTTTCCTGAGGACAATGGGGCCTCTGAGGGGTCTTGAACAAGGGAGAAACAGGGACCTGGGGGATAAGGACTCTGCTTTATTCGTTGTGATGTCCCCATCACTTTCTTGGCACACACGCGCACGCACACACGTGCCCGACCTGGGGCTCCTGGTCCTGGCTGGTCCTTCCTCCACCTTCTGCACGTCTTCGCTTGAATGTTGCTTTCTGAATGAGGCCTCAGGCCCTGACCTTCCCACTTAAAACTGTGACCTGCCTCACCTTGAAACACTTCTCTTTCCCTCAGAAACACTGTTCACCTACAGTGTACTTGCATACAATTTAATTTATTATGTTTTGTCCATTTTCTTCTCACTAAAATGTTATCTCTAAAAAAGCAACATTTCTTTGTTTCCTTCCACGGACACAAACCAAGCTCTTAGAATAGATCCTGGCCCGCAGGACGTAAGCAGTCTTAGCCGATGGTCTGGATGACGGTTCGTTCCTTCGTGGGTCATGCCCTCTCCACCCTGCCCCACGCGGTGTCCCAGCCAAGGAAGCCATTTCTTGGTCCTCACCCAGGTGACAGACTGTGTCCTGTGGCCAACTCCTACTTCCTGTGGCTTCCTTAACTCTCTATCAAAATCAGGGGTGATGAGGACCATCTTTCCTAGCCACATGGGCTAAGTTTATTGGTGGTGAGAAAAACTGAGGTCGTCCTGCAGAAATGAGTGCGTAAACAGTCGTGGAGCAAACGCTTGTGGTGCCCGGAGCCTGGGCTCCAGTCCTGTTCGTCCCCTCTGGTGGTGGTCATCATCATCATCTATTCACTTGGTTCTAAACCCAAAAGGTAGAAATGATGCACAGTGAGACTTTCCCCTGCTACTCCGATTCCTTCAGCACATAGTGGTCAGCGGCTCAAATATCTTTTCAGGGAGATTTTATGCACAAAAAGACACCCACCTATGTATATGCAGGTGTGTGTGTATATATACATACATATATACACACATCTTTCTCTCCTTTAATAAAATAAGAGGACTCTCCACATTGTTTTGCTCATTTTTTTCACAGTATACTTTGGGGATCATTCCATTTCAGAGTTTCTTCAATCATTTCTCAGCCTGAAGAATAATCTGGAGACATATAGGGATCCCAGTTTGGGCCCTGCATGGAGTGTGCAGTGAACGCCCTGTGTGTTTCTCAGGGAGCACAGAGACAGCACGTTTCCCAAAGCACAGTTGCTGACAAAGGTCTTACAAATTTAAGCAGCTCCCTGCAGTGTATAAAACTGCATGTTTCCCACCAGCCCATGAACACAATGTGCTATTAAATTCACTCTTCTCTGATAGGTAAAAAATGATGTCTCATAGTTTTGAGTTTTTCCTAGTGAGTCAGCTCAGTTATCATCTATTATGTTCAGAAGCTGTAGTATTTTTTTTTTTCTGGAAGCTGCCCAGTCATACAATTTACCTAATGTTTAATTGGGAATTAAATATTAGTGAATTAAATTTAAAATTAGTGAATTAGAATTAAATTAGTGAATTAGAATAAAAAATAATCCACAATTAATGGAGAGGCCCTGCACTGATCATTTTATTATTGATTTGTGGTGTTCATGAATATTGGGGAAATTAGCCCATTCTTGTGCTATGAGACATGAAATTTCTCCTGTGTTTTTTGACTTTTGACTTTGTTAGAATTCAACCCCATTGAAAATGTTGATTTTTAAGTAACACTTTTAAAAATATATTTTAATTTTTTTTTATTGTTGTTTTATGATTATAAAACTGATGTCTATTTGGAAATTATACGTGAATACTCCCAGAGTTTCTTAAGAAATAAATTTTCTTAATAAAAAAGTTTCTTAAGGAATTCCCTTTGGGAATTCATCCTTGCATAAAATTAGAGGCATTTTTCTTAATGGCTACCCAGTTGTGGCTACATCATTTATTGACTAATTATTTGTTTCTTCATAGGTTTGAGGGTGTTAATCATGTACTAACTTCCTCTGTGGATTCAGACTCAGCTATGAGCTTCCCATTGTGTCCTATTGATACTGATGGTCCACACCAAATTCATAATAGCTTTATAATATATTGTCTGCAGAGTTAGTCTGTACAGATAACTCTAATTCTTTAGAATTGTCCTGGCCACTTTTTATATTTATTATGCATTTGTGTATATATTAGTTTAAAGTAGTTTTGTGGAACAATAACACTCATACATTGAGAATATAGCGCAGGGAATTTTCACACAGGAAACACGTGTGATGTCCACGATCAAGAACAGAGAATTACTCCGTGCACAGAGTATGTGTCACAAATTCCAGTAATTGAATTAGCAATGGCAATGCTAGCAAAGCTCCAGGTGTTGCTGGGTGGAGCGTGGAGGGCCCTGCACTGAGCTTCTGCTGCTCAGGCTGCCGGGAGCTTCCGTGCTGGGGGGCACACTGGTGTTTGTCGGATTCAGAGGCTCCTTCCATTTACGGCCCAGCTGTCCCTGCATCTTCTTTTCCTTTTACCACCATGCTGAACACTACTCATCTCAGATACCTCCAAAGACCCTACAAGGCTAAGTTTGGCCTCATCTGTCACGTTTTCCTCCAGCAGGCCTAAGACCTGGGGGCGTGTCTTCTCCGGAGCAGACCGTCAGGGTAACACTCAGCCCGCCCCCCTCTGGAGTCTGCGCCTCTGCTGAGGTGCCTTTGTGTTTGTTCTGGGCAATTGACACATTCGCAGCTCAGTATAGGGACTAAGTTGAAACAGGGTTAGCAAATTTTTCTATTTGTGTAGAGCTGTAAGCAAAAACGAATATGCTTGCTGTGTGAATAAGCTTTCAGGAAAGGCCCCTGGCTACTTTGTCTACCCACTCCAAGTGCTGTCCCTAAGCTGTGCCTGCACACTGGGGATGTCCTGGTTCTGTTCAGTTTAGGGGCTCGAGTAGAGTGCACAAACATTATCTCATGAATGCTCACAGCCTCAGAGGTGTGCATCTTTTCTCCATTTATGCATGCAGATGACTGGCTCAGGGGTCTACCTCAGTTGCTCCCAAGTGGATTTGAACCAGGTTCCAGCCTCACTCACAGCGTGTGCTAGGTCTGCCCTGGAACATGGCACACGGGTACCCAGGTACAACCGGAGTCTTGCGCTCAGGGTGGCCAACCTCATGCCCTCCCCGAATGCACCATCTTGCTGCATCCCCTCAGCACATGGGAAACTGGCTGCCTCGGGACCTTCAGGGGCAGGAAATGGAAAGGGCACAGCACTGGCCAAGCCTGGCATTACAGCTCCTCATGCTGGGACAGGAGCCGTCCTCACCCCTCTGGGCTTTCATCTCCTCTATGCAGGGGCAGTGTCTTCTGAGTAGGGAAAACCCCTCTTCTCCTTGCTTCTTATCCACCCAGGAAACCCACGTTTTCCCAGCAAGGTCCCCAGGCCAAGATCTTGAAATGTGGCCCCTGCAGCAGCCCCCCTGTGGATTCTGCCCTGTTCCTCCAATGGCCCATGGATGCAAGCAGCTGTTGGGTCCCCAGAGCAGGACAGAGGGTCTCCAAGTGGCCCAGAGGCAGGAGGCAGAGAGACCTGAGGAGTCATCTAGCCCCGGGAGATGTGGGAGGAGGGGAAATGGGCATTCACACGGCTGGGGTTCATCCGCAGGCTGCACAGCCTTGCTGGGGAGGGGTGAGGTCTGGCAGAGCCCTGTCCCTGGGTGGAGGATCGGGGGAGTCAGAATGACAACGGCTGGGTACAGTCACCACCACTCCCCCTGCAGTGTCCTCAGGTAAGCCTCAGCCCAAACTGGATTTGTAACCTGGACCAGTGACTGCTAGGGGCTTCCCATTATGCACCCATGCTCATTTGCCTGTGTGCACATGTCTGTGTGTGCATCTGTCCACGCAGAGGGGGATCTGTAGTATCTGGGTGGCGGGGCCACACGGAGACCTCTTGGTGAGAGTTCATCAGGCTATATAATTGGAGCTTATAAGGCACTCAGTTCTGTCCCTGCTGCAGTACGCCTTCCAGTCCTGCATCCCATCCTGCCACTCCCCCCAGCCCTGCCCCAATACTCCAGCTCCTGCCTAGGAAGCCATGTGTCCCATTTGTGAGTTCTGCACTTTTCTGTGTCCTGAGGATGGAGGACCCCTGGGGACAGGAGCTGAAAATCTCCGTCATGCCACAGGCTTCCTGAGTGTACCTGGGAGGGCGGGAGGCCACCTCACCCACTCCTGGCCCCGGAAGGAACTCTAGTTCACTGAGGGCGTGCAGGACTCTCCAGTTAGGTGGATCCCGGAGGACGCCCAGCAGATGACCTGCTTTGCTGTCGACCCAGGGCCTTGGCTGCCCAGACAAAGGGTGTCAGCTCTTATCCTGAACCCTTCTCATTGGGGGATCCGCCTCCATCAGTCGTGTGTGCAACTGGATTCCACTGGGCTAGGTGTGGCTGATGCCTCCACCCACTGGAAATGGCACCTTTTGAGGGACAAGCTGGGCCGTGCCCTGGCCCGGCCCCTCTCCACCTCGACTTTGGGAACCTTTAGAACCTGGCCTGAGAATCTCTTGTGGGAAGGAGCCCTGGCATGTGCCCAGGATTGCTGCCATACCAGGGCAAACTCAGTTGCTCCCCTCTGGGACTCACTGTACTGTGAATCCCCTTGACTGTGGTCCCAGGAAAAAAGGAAACTGGGGCAGGAAGGGTGGCACAAAACCTATGCGCCTGGGCCTCACCATTCACGGTCCAAGTCCTGCTGTCTGGCTGTGTCCCAACTGGGTCAGGGGCAGGTTCTCACCTGGGAGGGGTAAATGGCTTCTGGGCGGGTGCTGGCCTCCATTCGTTTGTGAGTCTGTGCCTGCCAGTTTCTGAGGAATTAATTCTGTCATTCAGGAAGAGGTCTCTGCTTAGTTTTAAAAGCACATGATGCTGGACCCTAAGGGGTGGGAGTGGGAAAAAGACATGCAGTCCCCCCTCCTAGGTGAAGAGACACTGCAAAGAGGCTGATGGGCAGAGACTGCCCAGCTGGTGTCCTGATATAACCCCTGGAGCTTCCTGCATTTCTCACTCCTAAGAGTGGTTTCCCCAGCCTTGGACTTTTCTAGTCTGTTAGTCTCGTGCACACAGAAGTCCTCACTCTCCTGCTGGCTGCCGATCTCAGCATCTAACACACCATCTGATGTCACAGTAAGGGTGAGTGAACCGGGGGTTCTCCGGGAGAGGGCCTGAAGGACAGGCTTTCTTGGAGTTACCTGGCCTGGCTACTTCTGTCTGGTGTCTTCTCAATTCATAATTCCTGTGCTCGGCTTCTTATGCAAACGGTCTTGCCCTCTGGCAGATACAACCGTCCCTCAGCAGCCCAGTGAGGGCCCAGCCGCCGGGGCCCCGTGGTCTCCTTTCATGCCCAGGGCCAGCCCTGAGGTTCTAAGTGTCTGTGACACGGTCCTTTCCCCCTGCCAAGTTTCGGTGACTGTGGCTGACCCCCAGCTCTCCCTGCTGGCTGGACAGCGGGCCTCCTCTGAGTGTCTTTCCTCCAGAAGGACGAAGGGAGCTCTTTAGCCCACAGTCACTCAGTCACCTGGAGCAGAAGCCTGAAGCACACATGTGCATGAGTGTCTCCCACCTAACATGCTGGGTCGTGAACAAGGAGTGTAAAGCCTAGTGGAATACAGGGCACCTCCCAGCTCTGCCAGTTCAGTCCAGAGACAGTGGTGTCTGTGCTGTGGGTGACGGGATGGAGCACAGGGTCAGGAATGCTCTCTGGAGAGAGTGACCATCTAGAGACTGGTGGCCAGCAGGGGTAGGGTGTGGGGAGCAGGGGCTCCCAGTTGGGGTTCATTATGGGAGGAGGAAAAGCAGGGGCTGTGGGGGAGAAGCTGGAGCAGAGGGGGAGGGTGGAAGAGGGAATCAGTCAGGTGTGGCTGCGTCCGTCCGTGAGGGCCTTGTACCGTGAGAAAGAGTTTGGACTTTTTCCTGAGGACAATGGGGCCTCTGAGGGGTCTTGAACAAGGGAGAAACAGGGACCTGGGGGATAAGGACTCTGCTTTATTCGTTGTGATGTCCCCATCACTTGCTTGGCACACACGCGCACGCACACACGTGCCCGACCTGGGGCTCCTGGTCCTGGCTGGTCCTTCCTCCACCTTCTGCACGTCTTCGCTTGAATGTTGCTTTCTGAATGAGGCCTCAGGCCCTGACCTTCCCACTTAAAACTGTGACCTGCCTCACCTTGAAACACTTCTCTTTCCCTCAGAAACACTGTTCACCTACAGTGTACTTGCATACAATTTAATTTATTATGTTTTGTCCATTTTCTTCTCACTAAAATGTTATCTCTAAAAAAGCAACATTTCTTTGTTTCCTTCCACGGACACAAACCAAGCTCTTAGAATAGATCCTGGCCCGCAGGACGTAAGCAGTCTTAGCCGATGGTCTGGATGACGGTTCGTTTCTTCGTGGGTCATGCCCTCTCCACCCTGCCCCACGCGGTGTCCCAGCCAAGGAAGCCATTTCTTGGTCCTCACCCAGGTGACAGACTGTGTCCTGTGGCCAACTCCTACTTCCTGTGGCTTCCTTAACTCTCTATCAAAATCAGGGGTGATGAGGACCATCTTTCCTAGCCACATGGGCTAAGTTTATTGGTGGTGAGAAAAACTGAGGTCGTCCTGCAGAAATGAGTGCGTAAACAGTCGTGGAGCAAACGCTTGTGGTGCCCGGAGCCTGGGCTCCAGTCCTGTTCGTCCCCTCTGGTGGTGGTCATCATCATCATCTATTCACTTGGTTCTAAACCCAAAAGGTAGAAATGATGCACAGTGAGACTTTCCCCTGCTACTCCGATTCCTTCAGCACATAGTGGTCAGCGGCTCAAATATCTTTTCAGGGAGATTTTATGCACAAAAAGACACCCACCTATGTATATGCAGGTGTGTGTGTATATATACATACATATATACACACATCTTTCTCTCCTTTAATAAAATAAGAGGACTCTCCACATTGTTTTGCTCATTTTTTTCACAGTATACTTTGGGGATCATTCCATTTCAGAGTTTCTTCAATCATTTCTCAGCCTGAAGAATAATCTGGAGACATATAGGGATCCCAGTTTGGGCCCTGCATGGAGTGTGCAGTGAACGCCCTGTGTGTTTCTCAGGGAGCACAGAGACAGCACGTTTCCCAAAGCACAGTTGCTGACAAAGGTCTTACAAATTTAAGCAGCTCCCTGCAGTGTATAAAACTGCATGTTTCCCACCAGCCCATGAACACAATGTGCTATTAAATTCACTCTTCTCTGATAGGTAAAAAATGATGTCTCATAGTTTTGAGTTTTTCCTAGTGAGTCAGCTCAGTTATCATCTATTATGTTCAGAAGCTGTAGTATTTTTTTTTTTCTGGAAGCTGCCCAGTCATACAATTTACCTAATGTTTAATTGGGAATTAAATATTAGTGAATTAAATTTAAAATTAGTGAATTAGAATTAAATTAGTGAATTAGAATAAAAAATAATCCACAATTAATGGAGAGGCCCTGCACTGATCATTTTATTATTGATTTGTGGTGTTCATGAATATTGGGGAAATTAGCCCATTCTTGTGCTATGAGACATGAAATTTCTCCTGTGTTTTTTGACTTTTGACTTTGTTAGAATTCAACCCCATTGAAAATGTTGATTTTTAAGTAACACTTTTAAAAATATATTTTAATTTTTTTTTATTGTTGTTTTATGATTATAAAACTGATGTCTATTTGGAAATTATACGTGAATACTCCCAGAGTTTCTTAAGAAATAAATTTTCTTAATAAAAAAGTTTCTTAAGGAATTCCCTTTGGGAATTCATCCTTGCGTAAAATTAGAGGCATTTTTCTTAATGGCTACCCAGTTGTGGCTACATCATTTATTGACTAATTATTTGTTTCTTCATAGGTTTGAGGGTGTTAATCATGTACTAACTTCCTCTGTGGATTCAGACTCAGCTATGAGCTTCCCATTGTGTCCTATTGATACTGATGGTCCACACCAAATTCATAATAGCTTTATAATATATTGTCTGCAGAGTTAGTCTGTACAGATAACTCTAATTCTTTAGAATTGTCCTGGCCACTTTTTATATTTATTATGCATTTGTGTATATATTAGTTTAAAGTAGTTTTGTGGAAAAATAACACTCATACATTGAGAATATAGCGCAGGGAATTTTCACACAGGAAACACGTGTGATGTCCACGATCAAGAACAGAGAATTACTCCGTGCACAGAGTATGTGTCACAAATTCCAGTAACTGAATTAGCAATGGCAATGCTAGCAAAGCTCCAGGTGTTGCTGGGTGGAGCGTGGAGGGCCCTGCACTGAGCTTCTGCTGCTCAGGCTGCCGGGAGCTTCCGTGCTGGGGGGCACACTGGTGTTTGTCGGACTCAGAGGCTCCTTCCATTTACGGCCCAGCTGTCCCTGCATCTTCTTTTCCTTTTACCACCATGCTGAACACTACTCATCTCAGATACCTCCAAAGACCCTACAAGGCTAAGTTTGGCCTCATCTGTCACGTTTTCCTCCAGCAGGCCTAAGACCTGGGGGCGTGTCTTCTCCGGAGCAGACCGTCAGGGTAACACTCAGCCCGCCCCCCTCTGGAGTCGGCGCCTCTGCTGAGGTGCCTTTGTGTTTGTTCTGGGCAATTGACACATTCGCAGCTCAGTATAGGGACTAAGTTGAAACAGGGTTAGCAAACTTTTCTATTTGTGTAGAGCTGTAAGCAAAAACGAATATGCTTGCTGTGTGAATAAGCTTTCAGGAAAGGCCCCTGGCTACTTTGTCTACCCACTCCAAGTGCTGTCCCTAAGCTGTGCCTGCACACTGGGGATGTCCTGGTTCTGTTCAGTTAGTTCTTTACCTCTGGGATCAGTTGCCACCAAGATCAGAACAAGTATGGAGCCAATGGCACTCCTCAACCTTCCGTACAGTCTGTGAACATTCTCTGAGTTTGCTTCAGTTTGTCGTGGTCTGGACAGGCCCTGTGTGTGTGATCAGAGTCCCACTCTGGGCGGAAAGCAGAATTAGGGCTGCAGGCTTCACCTCCGGCCCTCGGCTGTGCTCTGCTGGGATCCGGAAGTGCCCCCTCTGCATCATGATTCTGCTTTCCAGAGGCTGAAGCGTCACATCCTTTCCCCAGCTCCACTCCGACATCTTGCATCCAAACTGCAATTAGAACTATGCCCGAAGGTGATTTTTCCTCCTCAGCCCCAGTTAACCTCACAAAGGCGAGATCAGGAGGCCCTCCGGGCAGTGAAGAGGTACAGGAATGTCCCAGGCTTTGGATGGGCCAGTTCAAGGCTGAGCTCACTTCCCTGGTTGTCAGCAGAACATTCCTGACAGTCTGGAGACATCTCTGCGTGTGATTTGCTGATGTGCAAACAGCTCTCATTGTGCCCGGTGAACAACCCCTCCAGGAGAGTGGGGCAGCCCATTTGTTGGACAGACAAACGTCTCTACTTGTGTAGAGTGGCTGCAAAGATCCCTAAGACAGAACACATTAAACTCCTGGAAGAATGCAGGCGCAGAGTTAGCAAGCATTGTTAGATGTGGCCATTTAAGGGGACAGAAGCGCAGAGAGACAGAAAAGAAAAACTTGAACAGGGAAAATCAGCCAGAAAAATGCCAGATAGGACAAAAAGCAAAGAGGAATGTGAACATAAACACATTAAACAAAATGCAAAAGAGATCTGCGGGCAATGCGTCTCTAATCTGCTGAGAAACATGCTTTATCCAGTACTTACAGTTTAGAAACAATTAATACGTTATCTCACAATCTGCAAAATGTAACAGTTTAGTATGCATTGTTACTGTCTATGTGTCCATTTTCAAATGCCCAAGAAGTGGCTCACCACGGCCAGCTTGCCAGTGGGAGGCACCCTGCGGCACCTCCCATGGGTGCCGCGTGTGCTCGTGTGCTCAGCTGCACATCAACAGCTGATGCTTTGGGCACCAATTAGTTGTGGGCCCTGGTCCTGCAGACAGTCACTCAGCACTACCTGCCATGTCCTCTGTGCCTGTGTGTCTCAGACGCTCCCAGGTCACCCTTCGTCACCAGACCCTCCCGTCCTCGTAGGTCTGCATGTTTCCTAATGGGGCCTGTCTCCCATTTCTCAATAGCATACCCAGCGCTCTTGGGACCATGTTCTGTGCCAACAAAACACACTCTACAGACCAACTCTTCTCTAAAGGCACCTGCCCCTTCCTACTTGCACTGAGTCCTGGTCCCGGAAGCCCCCCAGGGGGCATTGGCTATTCCTCTCTGTCCATGGCTGTCCTACCACTGGGCCCAGGAGTGGCTAGGGTCCATCGCACCACCCGCTGCTGCCCTTCACTGCAGATTACTCTTCAGCACTGTAAGAGGTGCTGGCTCTCTAGGAGTAACAACACTGATAATGAATGCTTCCCTGGGCAGTACGTCCTTTGCATTCTGTTCTTTGCATTCTGGTATCGGCTCCTCATCACTAGCATCCAATTGCATAACCCACCTCCCTCTTGCTGTTCTGTCCATTCATTGCACTCTGCTAGCAAAACCACAGCCCTAGCTGAATCTAGCCCTCTCAGCAGTGCCAGCTGCAGAATGTGGCTACAGAAGAGCGCACGGCCTTGACAAGCTGACCTGACTTTCCTGTGCGCAGCCCCGAGGGCCCCCGAAAGCCTTAGCTGTAATTCTCAGGCCGGCTCTCTCCTGCTGTCCCAGACAACCTCATCCACTTCCCATCTCTCCTCATACTTCCAGCACTCCCTCTCCTGCCCTCACTTTCAGTTGCTGAACATACTTTCCAGCACATTGAGAAAACAGAGACGTCAGAAGGGAATATCTGCCTTCCCTCGCCTACTCAGCTACCTGCCTTTGCCTGCGTCACACTCTCGTGTCCCTCCTACTTCCATGTAATACCTGCCTGTGCTCTGATCTGAGGCTGGTCCCTCCACAGGATCCCACTACTCTTATTTACCCAGGAGTATCTTACCAGCAACTGGGAAGCTTTCTTTTCCATATAGTTTTTTTCCCCCTCTCTACTGGATCATTCCCAATAGCACATGAAGATACTATACTATCTCCCATCTAAAAAGTGTATCTCTTATTTTAAAAAATCTGCCTCTGTCCCTCTCTCTCTCTGTCTCTGTCTCCCCCCTTGATCTCCCACCCACTTCATGTCAACACTCCATGACCTGTCTTTTTTACCATGAACTCCTCAAAAGTGTTCTTTGTACACTTTGTTTCCAGTTCTTCTTCAACCCAGCTGATCACGTTTGCATCCCCACCATGTCACCCAGTGCTCGGGTTGGGGTCGCAGATCACGGCCCTGCTGCCAGGTGTGGTGGGCAGGGCCTGCAGCCCTCAGCTCCCCTGGCTCACTCAGGAGGGGCTGCCGGGCCTCCTCTCTCCTCAGTCCTCACCCTCCTCGCTGACCGCTCGGCCTCAATTTCCTTTAATGGTCACTTTCCCATCCCTGATTTCTAAATATCAGTGTCCTGGGCCTCAGCTGTTGAATGCTTCCTCTCTCTGTATTTAAGTCTCTAGGTGTTTTCATCCTGACTCAGCCACATAGTGATGAGTCCTGAATCTCTCCCTCCAGGCTAACATGGCCAGGAGGGCTCGGGGAGCTGGAGCAGGGGCCTGGGGGGCCAGGAGGGGTCGGGGAGCTGGAGCAGGGGCCTGGGGGGCCAGGAGGGGTTGGGGAGCTGAAGCAGGGGCCTGTGGGCCAGGAGGGGTCGGGGAGCTGGAGCAGGGGCCTGGGGGGCCAGGAGGGGTTGGGGAGCTGGAGCAGGGGCCTCAGGGCCAGGAGAGGTCACTTGAGGACAGGACATCTTGGAGAAAGTTCAGTTATTCTAAAAATCAGTGCAGGTATTTCGAAAGTCCAGTGAACATAACCTTATTTGTATCAGTATTTTCTACAGAATCTGAAGTCCTATAATTGTTTCTGTACCTCCAGGGGTCCATATCTTTAACACAGAGCAGCCCTGCCACCTGGCATGGGAGACACCCTGGCAGTAGATAGGTCAGAGTTTGGTCACACCGTCTCCTACCTGTTTGATTCTCCCAGGACTCCTGACTTCCAGGGCAGCAACCTAGGGCACTAGATAGTTCCCTATATTGGTTTCATAATATCCTCTAATTTGTGCATTCTAGAAACCATGCAGTCAGCCTTGGTCCGTGGTTAGCCACCTATTTTCATCGTCTCCCTTTTGCTTTCTTACATCAGGGGTTTCCTATGTCATGGGCTCTGCCTCCAGTCCCCTACTCTTCAGCCATGTGTGGCTGTCTCTTATCCTAAAAACTAACTTCTCTCCGCCCCACACTGCCCATCTCGGGTGACGGTCATTCCTTGTGGGATTGTTGCTTCTAAGCAACCCTAATGATTCCTATACGTGCTATCTTCCTGGGATTGCTTGTGAGATCCCAGTGTTTCCAGCTTGGAGCAGCTTGTTCCACTCAACTGGGGTGTGGCAGTCCTGGTCATCCCCAAACTGCCCCCAGATCAGTAAAGACACCTGTTCTCCTGACCTCATCAGGCAAGCAACGGCTACATAAAATGAAGTGAGGAGACAATGTGATGTGAACCCTTTTATACAAACCCTGAACCCAGCTCGGGGAAAGAGCCACGAGAGTGGGGGGCCTGCTCCCAACCAGGCAGTCCTGATGGCGACTTCCCACATTACAGGCTCTGTCATCCTGGCCCTTTGTCGCACTGAGTTGCTGCTGGGTCCTTCTGAGTAAATTCCGAGAGCATCCCTCCTCTGTGAACCATGGACGTATTTCCATAAAGACAAGAAGGTCTTGATTTACAGGTGAGTCTGCAATGGCACAGCTTGGGGATTGAATTCACGGTTGCTGGAGGGACCCAGAGCACGCTCGAGACAAAAATCTAAAGCCTCGAAAGCTGGGTCAACCCAGGACACAGACATGTGCTTCTGTTGGCTTTATCAACAGGTTCAGAACCCAGAGTATAGGTACCCACATTGCCAGTTAGGGCTCCGTGCATCTGGTTCAGGTTCCAGAGCGCCTCCCACAGACCAAGCGCAGCAGCAACACCCAGCTGGGAAGGGTTCTGGCTAGTACTCCCACGTGGACGAGGACGCCCAGAGCCAGAGGGGCGGAGGAGATGCTCTGTCCCACGCAGGGTCTGAGCTGGGCGCCGTGTCCTACCTCGGTGACGTGGACCCTGGCCTTTCAGATCTCGGCTCCTCTTGTGCCTGGCTCAGTTAGGCCCCCTGGAGTCTGCCACTGCCCCGCCCACCACTCCTGTCTTTCTTCACACCGCTCCCCACCCAGTTCACCCTCCTCAGCCCATGGGTTCACTACTCCTGGTGATACAGTGAATGTTCTTGCCCCCTTGTGCTCTTGACTGATAAAACCCCAGGCCTGGCTGAGTCCTTCTGTTCTGCCAGCTGCTAGAGCAATGAAAAGCAAAGCCAAAGGCACTCTGCAGGGTTGGCATCACTCTGAGATCAGGATTACCCACCTGGGCTGGACCCAAGCCCTGCCTGGCAATCCCGTCCCCTTTTCTGTATTTATCACACATGCCATGCTCCTCTTTCTCTTGAGCTTCTGGATATTCGCTGCTGCCCCAGGCAGATGACACCGCTCTCCTGCATGGGGCAAAAAGCAGCTGTTGTGTGTGTTGACATTCTGCTTCCCACCATCACGTGTCCAGGCCTGCGGTGCTCAGCCATGCTTCATGAGTCCCGGGTCAGGGGCGAGGCAGCCCTTGTCTTCCAAGGCTTGTCTTCACTCTTGTGCTCTGGACCCCTGTGCCTCCACTTTCGATTATATTATTTCTCCCGTGAATGCTCTCCTGGTATCCTGTGTTCCTTAAAACACCACGCTTGTACTATTTTTCGGTATCTGTTATCCTGGATAAAGTGAAATTGCTGGTTCACTCTTATCTCCAGCACCTACACAGCTCCCAGCATCTTGTAAGTGCTCAAGAAATCTTTGTCCAGCGAATTACTGAGTTACCTGCGGTGGAGTCAAAGTCCCCTCCTTTCACTCTTTGGGGAATGGGAGGCTGCCCCATGATGCAGCTATCGGCTCAGACCCGCCGTAAGAACTTTGCAATGCATGTCGGGGCCCTGGTGCCGGCTCTGCTGCTCTCTCTGGGTTTCAGAGGAGACTGGGCCATGTAGTGTTGGCACCTCTGTATTTGCATTTATGGGTATCAGACCCCCAAGAAGCTGACACCCGGCCCCAGTGCTGCCTTAGGCAGTGGAGAAGCTGGAAGAAGACCAGGCTCAGTTGAGGCCCTGGCATTGGCACTGTGGGTATGTTATCTAATGTTTGTTGAGCCCCGGATGTTTTTTTAACCTGTAAAGTGAGATTACAAGAAACTCATAGGGCTACTGGACTGTGATAATGCAAATAGTGTTTGACAGATCATAGGTTGAAAACACATTTTAATTTCCTTCCTTCCCCTCATAGCCTATGTACATGGGGCTTCCTAGAAACATTAAGTCACATTTTAAAATACCATTAATGTTAACCCTTGATTATGTGGGCTGTCTGGGAGGGGAGCCTGCACAGAAAACAGTCTGAGCTTTCCACTTGCCCCTGCTGAAGAGCAATTGCATCTTTACCTGTTGTACATATTGGAGGAGTACATCCAATTTAATTTGAAATCAGAATCATCCTGTTTAAAAAAAAAAGTTTGAGCTGAGAAAATTGGGGCATACTTGATCATTTAATCAATGGAGGGACATGATGAAATTTACAATAGAGGAGATTACTCAGGTCAGGTGGCCTTAGCTGCTTTGATCTGGTTCCTTGAGAAACTGGTCTGTGGTGGGTGGCCAAGCTAGCTGTGTGGTGAGGTCAGAGCAAGCTCCTCACTCGCGCCTCTGCAGGTTAGGGGGCCACCAGAAGGCAGGTGGACGGTCTTTGCTGGCCAAGGCCTGTCCGGGCACAGCTTGTCCCTTCCCGGGTCTTCTCTCATCTGTCCAGGTGCTCCAGGGTTCAGGTGTGCTGTGGGCTCCTGCCCACGTAGGGCATGCCCCCAACAGAAGGGTGAGGCACCAGCCTGGCCAGCACTGGTATGCACAAGATTCTTGTCAGGACAGTTCCCAGGTGATGGAGGAGAGCAAGGATCTGCCTGCCTGGGTGGGGCTTTGGAGCAGTCCCCCTGTGGGGCGGAATCCCAGTGGGCAGACAGCCCTGTGGATCCCTGGGGGCCATGGGAGCCGCATCGTGGGAAGGGTGGGTGCTGCTCGTGCTTCTCTTGGGGTGGAGGAAACAGGCACGACCTAATGTCCAGTGACCTGGCCCCAGGGGTCTTAGCCTGTTCCAGTCAGTGGATGAAGGAGGGGACAAGGCCTGCACAGCACCACAGACCCATTCTTCTCTGAGACGGCCTCAAAAGCCAGCCACCACCCCCATCTGTAGAGTGTGAGCTGGAGATACAGGCTGAGAAGCAGAAATTAGTGATCGGAAGAGGTACTATGAGCTGAGGACCCAGCACCACGCCCAGCACCCAGCAGGCATTCTGTGCTTATAGCATTAGCATTTCCACTATCAGCTGCGGTCTTTGCACCCCAGCTTCTGGGTCCTACTGCGTGGCTGGGGACACAGGCTGGTGGCCTCGGGCCAGCAATGCAGCCCCTCTGGTGTCCAACTGCAGGAAAATCCTGTGGACCAAGGTCGCAGGTCATCCCTGGGCCTCAGTGTCCTCCTGTGCAGAAGCAGTGCTGCTGCCATCCGAGACGCTGGGGAGAGTTCTGTGCCCAGTGGCCTCCTCATCTGTCGTCCTCCACGGCTGTGGTGGTCCATCTGCTTGTGACACAGGCTCCATCCCAGGCTTCGTCCTGGCCACCCAGCCAAACTCAGTGAGTGGGACAATAGCTAACATGTCCAGTTTACAGGGCCCTGGATTACAAATGTCACTGTCAAATGGTGCCTTCTGACCCTAGAAAGGGAAGGGATGAGGAGACACCACCCTGCCTGTCCTTTTCCCCCAGGCCGTGATCCCCAAGAAGATATTTCTAATCTTCCAAGAAAGGAAGACCCACAGCTGACACAGTCTCTCACTCCTGTGTGACTTCCTCCCTGTCTTGTGGTGTGAAAGGGGTTCTTTTGCCAAGGTGAGCCAAGCAGACCCTTGGCACCATCTGCCCCATTCGTAGGGACTGCGGTACTGATGACACCTATGGCTCATCACAGCCCCGTGCTATGGACCCCCCCTCACTCCCCACTCTGCCCAGAGGAGGCTACCCAACCGACTGTGTCCCTCATCCTGCAAGCAGCACACCTTAAGATGAAGGCAAGGGTGGGAGACCTTTTTGCCGCCACACCTCAATGCACAGCCTGCATCTAGTTCGATTAGTGATGCTGTCTTTGCCTAGGATGGCCATGCTATCAAGGATGCCTGTGCAGAGCAGGCTTGGAGAAGCCTTAGGTGAGTGGCAGACTTCCTGGCCTGCAACCGCATCTGTGACATCAGGACCTTCTGCTCTGTCATCTGTGGGGCTGTCGTCCTAAGCCATTCATACTTTTAGAGACAGTGGTCGCACAGGGGTCCCATATCGCATGTCTGCAGGACACTTTGCATGTTTTGTGTTCTCTCGACAGCCTGGGGAGCTGGGTATCGCTGCATGCAGAGAGCAAGTGCTGGTCCCACTGTCTGGGTTTCCAGCAGTAGGGCCAAGCCAGCCAGGGGTTGTGGGACACAGCGAAGTGCTCTTTGAGTCTTTCTCTCAGTGTTATTACGGATCTGGGACATAAACCCGGCTGTGTGTAGGAGCCCTCTGGGAAGCACTTCCAGCATGCAGATTCTTGGTCCCTGGGTAAGACCCATGGAGTCATGATCTCCAGGGAGTGGGCATTGTTAAACAGCCCCCGGGAGCTTCTGCTGACCTGGGGGCCGCAGTCTCCAGTGTTCTGGGGGCAGCACGGAACTGGAGTCAGCCCGTAGAACACTCTAGCGACTGCGTTTCCATAGCCTTCCCACCTCCTCCCTGCCCATCCCCAGGTCTGCTCAGACAACTGAAAATTCTGAGGAGTAGACAGCTCAAAACCACAGCCCTTCCACTGGGCACCTACATCCCGTCTTCCCTTTGTGTTGATGAACTTTTTGGAATTGAAATGCTTTTAGCTGGAGAACTCATTACCCCACAAGGCAGTCTATTTCTTTTTAAATTGTTATCTTTGTTAGAAATTTTTCTCTGATAAATACTTGTGAACAAATAATAAAGACACAATTATAATGCCTCAGAAAAGCAATTTTTGGCATATAGTTGGTACTTATTTATTTTTGAATGAATGAAATACCAATAAAATGTCACTTGGCTTGATTATAGGTATTCATTTTACAAATAAGAGTGTAAATTTCAGATAAGTCATCTTTCTGTATCCATAGAGTTAAAACTATGGCAGAATCGGACTAGATAAGGTAACTGATGTCCTATCTAGTGTTCATGCTTGGGGGAGGGCGAGGGCAGAGGGGGTGCCAGGCGGGACCCCTCCCGCACGCCACAGGGCTGCTAAGTGTCTCCTGTCTGCGGATGGCCTACCTGCTGCCCACCCAGGCCCTTCACTCACGACCTCACATGTTTGCCGTATGGCTTGTCTTCTCCCTGCCCTAGCTGCTCATCAGCAAAGCAGCAATAAAGCTACATTTACCTCCTAGAGCTGCTGTGAGGATTAAAAGAGTGACACGTGCACAGTGACTGGGAGATGTGTGCGCCATGAGCGCCGCACACTGCTGGTCGTTGTCACTCTCTGTGGCTGTGCTGTTGTTAGGCTGGTCCAGTGTCCCTCAGGGATGCGAGCCTGTGTTTCTATCTCTCCAGAAGTCTACAAATACCCATGAACGCCAAGAGAACATGTCTGTGACTGGGAGAAGCTGGTTTCACAACTCTCCCCCCCCCCCGCTCACCAGCTCTTACGAGTTCCCCGTGAGACAGGCTGGCTTGGGTCGCAGCCGTGAGAGTGGGTACCGAGGCAGACCAGGCACACTGGAGTCCCGCATTTGCAGAGTGGTTGTCATTTATCGGGGTTATTAAATTTAGTGATAATGGTGAAAGTTTACCAAACAATCATTCACCTGTGGCCTGAGAGCAAACAGACTAGGCTTAGAGAAACAGGTGGTGGCTTCCGGTGTTGACCCAGGCAGGGGCTGGGTTGACCTGGGGCTAGGGTGCCAGTCATGTCCATGCCTCCCGCTCTCAGAGGTAGAGGCGGCGCTTGGAGCACCTACATCAGAGGAAGGCTGGAGACACCTAGAGGCCCCTGTAGGGAGCACACACTGAAGCTCAGGGAGCACGAATGGGATCAGTGAGATACCAGGGTCCTGAGAGGACTGGCAGAGCTGCCGTAGAGAGAGAAATCTAGGGGTCAGCCATGTGTGTGCATGTGTGCATGTGTGCATGTGTGTGCATGTGTGGTGAAGCACCAGAAACCCTCATCTTTCTCAAGCATCATTTCCCAAAGAATAACCTAGATTAGGATCATGTTCCCCATTCCTTGCCTACCTCCCCCTTATTCATACTACAATTGGCTACCTCTGTAACTTCAATACTAGAACTAAAACTGTATTTCTTCACCTGCCATGTTAGGCTGTATTTCTTGACTTTCCACTAAATAAGAGAGGCAATTAGCACCACATAGTTTTTTTTACCTTAGTGTGATTTTATTCTAATATTTTATTTGTGAGAACTTCACAGGAATAAAAAAAAACAATGACATTTCATTACTATTTGTGCTATATCATGAAGTGTGTGGTATCTACTAACAATATACAGTCTTATCTAACAATAAACAATATACAGTGTTACAGACACTGTAAACCAATAGCTGCTGAGTAGGTGTTAGACCATAGGCTCCTGACTTTTTTTGGCTCAGCACCCACTTTTCAAGGGTTGATTTGATGACACCCTCTTAGGCGAATTATATATTATTCTATATATAAAACAAGGACATATATTTTTTCAAATTATTTTATTAAAATAAATTAACAATATTAATGTATTGGTCAAAGTATAATTAAAATTTTAAAAATTAAAGAAGTATATATTATTTTTTAAAATTAATGATATCTTTATTAGTGAGAGGGTTGAGCTTGGTGAGGTGACACTAATTTTTCTATGTCTGGTGTCTTTGCATTCAGCCCTCTTAAATCGCCACATTTCACTTTTGACAATTTGTTTCTTTTCTTTGTTAATAGATTGCTGACCATGCTGAATCCTTTTTTGGCTAAATATGGTGATGGAAATGCAAAGAAATACTTCTCTGCTACAGCCCATAAGGCTGGATATAATCCTGGATTTTGCCTTTGAAGCCAAAATTCTTGATATCCATTTTTAAATTTCATTTTGTTGACAATTCTATCAACTCCTACAGTGATACTTCTGCTAGTTGTAGGTTCAAGGAAGGTTTTAGGACCCGGTCTGGAATAATCATGTTGAGTAAATCCTGAAATCCGTTGTGAAATCTTTAAGAGCTTCCAAATGCTGGCTATAAACCAGAATGTCGTCATCATTTGTTTCCGCTGAAGAAAGATTTGGAAACTGATAAAACTGTCTTCGACTCAGATTTCATTTGTACAAGTCAAGCTTTGACATGAATGAAGAAATAGCTGCCTTGTCTTCGATAAGATTCACTGTCGAGTCTCAATCAAACCTTTCATCGTGCTTATGCGAGTATTGCCCAAGGGGGCAGCAGCTGGTCCTCAACACCCCCTTAATATGTCTGGGACCAAAAACGCCCCCTCACATTCCTTCAGCGTCCCCTGGTGGGCGGCACCGTCCCCGCTGGGAACCAGGGCATTAGACCCAGGCAGTGGGCAGGGCTAACCTCACTAGAAGCTGACTACAGGGCTGGGCCGGTGAGAGTCACATCTGACCTGACTGGAGGCTCAGGAAGAGCTGGGCCCTCTGAACAAGGGGCTGGCCTGGCATGAGGTCGTTTCCTGTGTCAGAACTTGCTGGAAGGCTGCAACAGAGACTTGTCGAGAGGACAGAGCGGTTGAGTCCTTTACCTAGGGGTCTTCTGAAGTCCCCTGGGTACTCTTTGAATACCTACCAATTTGCTCTTTTTCAAAAAAAAGTTTAGTCATACAGTATTTTTAAAAATTAAATTAAAAAGCATATTAAATATCAAATGCTCTGTAAAATGAAACTTTTCTAATAGAAAATGTTAAAAACATGTAAATAATGAATGTTTGTTAAAAGTATGGAGTTAGATACAGTCTATAGAAAAATTATTGTGACACTTATTTTTGCTATTTCTATAAACTTTTAAGGTTTTGTTTATAGGACATTTTACACAAAAAGTGAAGTCCACATTTTTCATTACTTACTACAATAAAACAAAGGTACAATGTATGGGCAATACTGAACTGGAGCCATACTAAAACCACACTAAAAAGTGTGGTTCATTATGAAATATCAATTCATAATATTGGTATTTCTTATGTACAGACATATTTAGAAAATGTGAAAATATGAAATGCAGACCTTCCTGGAGAGAAACAATGATTAAATCACTAGCTTATTTTCAAAGTAGTAAATTTCCAAAGTCGGTTTGATTAAGACTACACAGTGTATCTATGCAATAGTATGTGAGCTGAGCAGTTAGTCCAGGGAATCTACTGACTAGGAATTCTGAATAGGTCAAAAATACTAGTACTCTGTCAAAGAAAATTTGTTTTGGTCAAAACTTTAAAAATTTTGTTATTTGGTGAATAAAAAAGAGAAATGGAAAATAGAAAAAAAGATATTCTTAGACAAGTAAGCTTTATACAATCAACCAAACATTGGTATTTTTTATTTTTTCTTAGAGAAAAACAGATATTTCTTTCCTGGAAGTCTCTCACAAAAACATAACTGAATATCTAAAGTCAAGGATATTTAAAACCTTATCTGAAAAATATGGAAGTTCAAGCAATGGTATGTCAAAATTCATGACATTGCTTTGTGCAATAAATAGCTCCCTTTTCCCTCCAAAGGAGAAATCATCAAACAATTTTTTTAAGAGTACAGATTTCATGACAGTATAAAAGGTAGATAACAAATTTCTCAGAAAGTTTTTCTGTTCACAAAGTGGATTTTTCCTTTAGTTGAATAATTTTTAAATGTAGCATTCATTCTTACTCTTGAACAAAGAAATTCCTCTCCCAAAAATGATTTTCTTAAATGGAGGCATTTTAATTGCTTCTAAAATACAATCTTCCTGGAAAGTCTGAAAACAAAATTTCATAGTCTTTGACAATGCCAGGATTCCAATTCTAAAAGTTTATCTTTGGGAAATTACTAAGAATAATCGCCGGTGAGAGTCTGCTCCCCTGTCAGAGAGTATAGGAGTGTAAGTGGCATTTTCTAGCATGGAAGAGTGTTGACCATGGTATTGTTCAATAAAAAAGTGGGTTCTAAAATATTCTGAAATGATCCCATTTTGTGATTTCTGTAAGATTTAGAAATATAACCATGAAATTGTCATTAGTGGTTATTTCTAGGTGATGAGATTTTTGGCTGGTCATAATCATCTTCCTTTTGCTTATCAACATTAACACGTATTTACACAAATAGTCATCATTTATTTAATGAGAAAATTTACACATTTAGAATTATAATTATACAAGATTATGATATATCTGTATACTTGTAGGGGTGGGAGGACTGCTAAGGTCTGCAAATAGGTGGCCCCGGTATTGGAATATAGGCTGATTGCTCTGAACCTGGCTGGCCAATATGACCTACTGGGTTGGGTATTTGGTTAAAAAAATATATTTTCAGTGTCCCCGAGAAAATGAGAATCATTAAAAATTTTACATGGAACTTATATCGACATGCAGCATAGTTGGACCCACTGGCCCCTACACCTTACCTCAGGTACCCCAAACCCAGGCTGACAGACCTTGAGCCTGGGCCCAGACTGTGTGCAGCGGACAGTGCTTCGGTAGCTGGGGTTTTATATCTCACGTTCTGTAATCCAGTGGCTCACAGTACCATGAGGGACTGGAGTCATGAACTGTCCCACATCGTCTTCTCACGCCTGGCCGCCAGCCACCCCGACACCCATGGCTTAGGGGCGCAGTCGGTGCTGCGCCTTTCACCTGGAAGCCTTCCCCTTCCCTGCCCGCCCAGCACTAATCCCGCCTGTCCTCCACGGCCCCGAAGTGCTGCCTGGTCCAGGAAGCCCGTCCTCCCCTCCCAGGGAGCCTGTGCTGTTTCAGGCTTCTCCTCCCACGGTCCTGGGAACCTTTCATCTACACTTTCAGGCGTCCTGGACCTCTGGTGCTTTTTCTCCTTCAAGTTCCTTTGAACACGAAGTGAGACAAAGAAAAGCATGTCAGTTGGTTAAGAATTATATGAATTAGTCGGCATATCTAGAGTTTGAATCTCGAGTACACTGCTTCTCCCACCAGACTGTAAGCTTTTCTAGAGCAGAAACCAGTCTACTTACACCTGTGAGCACGGAGCCCAGCGCACGGCAGGGCTCAGTGGGTGTTTATTACAGCGCAGCCTTGGCTGCCAGGGTCATGGGATGACAGGGCGTGTCTGCGAGGATGCCGGGAACGCAGACGTAAATCCCAAGCCATCCATCTCTCCGAAATGTGGGGGGTCACGGCGGCCGCGGCTCCAAAGGAAGCAGCTGCGTGCGGCTGAGCTGCAGCGTGGGTGGGAGACGGAAGCAGAAGCGCAGTCAGGCCGGTCTTGCCTCCTCGGCGCGGGGACCAGGAAGAGCTTCCCAGCCCCAAGGGGAGGGCGGCGGCCTGAGCTTCCCGGCACGGAGCACGGGCCTTGGGGGGCCGGAGCGGCCGCACCCCCGCCTCTCCCCGGGCCGGGCGCCTTAGCACTCCTTCTCTCTGATGCGGTAGACCACGCCGCAGCCGAGCCAGCGGGGCCTGCGGCAGGTCCTCCCGGTGCCCTCCCGGCCCTGATCCCGGGGCTCCTGGGGGCCAGACGCACAGCCCCCTGGGTGGGGAGGGCAGCAGGGGGCGGAGCGGCGAGCCAGGGAGGGGTCCGGGGCAGGGCAGCGCCTGGGAGCCCCCGGAGGCCCCCAGGATCTCCGCTCCTGCTGCGACATCAGCGGGCCAGCAAGTCGAAGCTGCAAGGGAAGAGCATCTGTTGAGACCAGGGCTTGGATTCTGTTTCTCTTCTCCGTGAGCTGGACTGCCAAAGCAGAGCCTAGCATTTTCTACCTGCTAAGACCCACCCCAGGTGCAGAAAAGTGGATTTGTAGGGGCTAAACATTTGGGAGTAAATCATGGTGGGAATTCCCGCCAGGGGACCCACTAGTTAACAAGCAAGTTAGTAAATCACTCTTCTTGAACAAGAAGAATGAACTTCAGCTAGTTGAGCGGGCCGTCCACCCGGTCATGCATCAAGGACCAGTGAGTCCCCTCTCTTTCTTCACTCATTCTTGCTTTGCCCAAGATTCCTAAGACTGTGTTTACCTTCTCCGCTTTGCCAGCCCTCTAGCCCCTGTGATTTCCCCATTGTTAGATCCCTTGAGGGCTTTTGCAGAGAACTGTTCCCTTCCCTTCTCCCTGCCCCAAACCTCCCGACCTGGCTTACCTACTCCCCAAGAAAAGACAAGAGGAGAGATCAGGGCGAGTGAGAGACATCCAAGCGTCTCCCACCCAGGAGAAGCCTCACCCTAGAGGAGGATGTGTGGACAAGCCATCCCAGGAGTCGGGAGGTCTCGTGCGGCCAGGAAGGAAGAGCCTTTATACACCCTTCCACTGGAGCCTTCAGGCTACATGTTACTGGAGGGCAGCCACAGAGCAGATTATTTTTCCGGATGTTTCACAATTCCAGGGCTGGATTCCTCAGCTCACGTGCGGGGATGTGTGTCAAAGGGATTCCCATGGAGTGACCAGAAGGCGAGGCCCTTGGATTGGCCTGAGTGGAGGTGGGGACACTGGCTGGGCCCAGATCACATCTCTGGGGGCTGCATGGGGTGTGACTGCTGTGAGTCCCTACCTGGGATTGTGGGGGAGGATGACATCCAACGCCACCCAAGTCTGAGGGACACCATCCTTTGTCACCCCTCCCCATCACCAGGACTGTATTATTCAGCCTGGCTCCCCTGCCTCCATGGAGACTCACCTGGTCCAGCCACATCCCAGTCCTCCATGCTCTGAGCTCCAGAGATACCTCTTATCTCGTGACCTTTTAGCTGCTCATGGCCAAGGTGACCTAAATTCTTTTCCTATCTCCTCTGTCAGACAGTTCTTCAATGACAGGACCTCCTATTTATCACTTCTGCATTCCTAAGGCCTGACATGAAGAAGAGGCTCATTAATGTTTGTTGAATGAAACAACGTATGTGCCATTAGAATAGACCTTGTGTTCTGGAAGAACACAAAATAGGAGGAAAACAAAATCCCACTCATTTTTGTTCCGTGGATCAGATCTCAGTGAAGGCCTTTCCTAAGTAATACAGAGCCATCTGTGGGTGGACTTCACTTTACAAAACAGGCTGGGAATAGTGGAGGGTAAACATGGATAAACCCTGCTATTTTTTAAACACAGAGGGAAGCTGTTTATGTAATTATCAAAAGACCTCTTAGAAGAGCTTTCTGCAGAGTGAAGAGATTTCCTGCATTTGCCATGAAAGTTGGTGTCAGCAAAGTTGGCTGTGACTGTGGGAACACTGTGGTCTGAGCGCAGCCCTCACTTCCAGATGCTTCCCTCCCGGACCTGCTGCTCACGTGTCCGGCTCAGTAGAAAGGTGCTGATGAGACTCCCTGAAGGTCAGGCCTGTGTCTTGTCTGCCCAGTGCTTGGCACACAGTAGGGACTCAGGAAGTGGCTGAGCAAGTGAGAGAGGTGAGCCACCAGAAGGCCACCCTGACAGCAGAAGGGCCACCCTCCGAGCCTTCTGCTCATATACGGATATGCGGGGTTGGGACGCGAGAGGGGAGATGAGAACCTAACCAGGGCGGAGAACAGGACAAGGCCAGAGGAGGAGCAGCTGCTGGAGCCCCACACCGGGCAGGATCGGGTCATCAGGGCTTACTGCTTTATCCCGGAAGGCCCCCGGGGGGAGGCTTTGACAGGCAGTTTGGAGGAAGGGAGAGGAAGGCCCTTGTGACTGAAACTGCAGTGGGGAGATGCCGGAAGCCTGTCTCACCTGCTTAGGACAGGACCTGGAGAGAGTGCCTGGCTTAGCGGCCTTGGGGTCAGATCCACTCCCCTTACTTCCTTCTTCTCCCCCCCTTCTTTCTCGCTTCCTCTTCTCTTACCCCCAGGCAGCAGAAATGACCTGCCTGCTCCTCAGAAAGTGTCCAGTCCACTAAGCTCTAGTGGGAGGGCAAAACGACTCTGGTCGCCACATACAGCATTTCTTTCCCACCGAGACCTGTGTTCCTAGACCCCACACAACACTGTCAACTACTATCCCCCACGGGCCCTGCCTGAGGGCTGAGGGGTCTTTCTGGAGGCCCTGCGTAGGGCCAGGCGAGCTAAGCATGCCGCTTCCTCTCCAGCCCCCAACCGCCCCTCATACTGCTGCACACAGAAGCCTCTGGGTCCAGCCACTATCAGTACAATGAATCCCATCACATACAGGGTGGTGTGGGCCCAGCTCCTCCAGGACTGGCGCCTTCAGGGGAAGGGTCCAGCCCCACCCTCTCCCCACTGTGAGCCTCTGGAGGTCCCTGAGCTGCTCTGACCTCCAGTTAGACTTCCTGGTGTGGGTTGTATCTACGAGCATCATCTTATCATTCAATATTCATTGAGCACCTACTAGGTATTGGATACAAGAGGCAATAAAATCGTCATTTCATGCTTCAGAGCTTTCACTCTAGAGATTCTGTAGGCACATCGATAGATGACACAAGACAGTAACTGAACGGTGGGCAGACAGACAGGCGAATGCTGGTTATGGGCTGAGAATGGAACTAGTCAGCTTAAATGTACCAAATTAGAAGGAAAATATTTTGAATGATGTGGCTTCCACTATTAGCACCCCTTCTGGTCTGGGGACAGGAGCCTTATCCCTGGGAGTCACCCATCCCTTCTCGTTGCTAATCCCCATTTGTGATGTTTCTCTGAGCAATGGATTGCCTCCCTCACTCCCTCCTTCCTTCCCTCCTTCCCGCCCTTGTTTCTTTCATTCTTTTGTTCTTTTTTTTCGTTCTTTCATTCTTGTGCTGGTTCCTCTTCTGACATCTTCTACCTTCTTCTCTTTACCTTTGGAAAAATTTGTCTTCCAAGTTCCAGTATAATCTTTCTTTAATTTTTTTAATTTTTTATTATTTATTTATTATTAATTTTTTTTAATTAATTTTTTTATTTTGGTGTCATTAATCTACAATTACATGAAGAACA